ACAGATGAACTTGGGGACAGCTCCGATTGCGATTCCCCTTTTACAGGTGAGGAAAATGAGACACAGAGAGGGTAAGTGATTCGCCACTGGTGACAGAGCTAGCACGAAAACAGAGTCCGAATTCACACTCCGCGGTTCTGGCTTCGTACCTGAGCTTAATACCATTGAAAGGACGCCCGGCCATGGCGTTGGCTCTGCCTCTGCTACAGCGGGAAATAATGCTCACAGACAGCACGAGAAGAGACGACACCCACATCTGCTGATGGAGGTTCAACAGACGGGCTTCACATTTTAAAATTCCACCAGCATCAACACGGGAGACGGGTTATGGATAGTCAAGACTTCGGAGGCAAGACCCTCATCAGGGCACTGGTGTGGTGGTAAGGGAAGAGGGAATGGAGGAGAGAAACCGGGGCCATAGGAAATGCTTACCACAGGGGCTTGCCTTCAGATGAGGTACGGGAAGAGAAGACAACTTAACGTCTGAGAGAATGTCAAAGATTTGGGGGAAGGGGGGTGACTGCAAAATACATCTAACTGATAGAACGAGTTCCTTAACAATTGTATAAAGGGGAACTTCCCTGTATGACTATCATGGGTGAACATGTTATGACTATCATGGGTGAACATGTAGAGAGACGGGGGTTGATTCTGACTCACAGTGACCCTAACACACACGACAGAACCACCCCTGTGGGTTTCACCCGGTAACTCTTTATGAGAATGGAAGGCCTCTTCTTTGACCAAGGATGGAGTCAACCTGCTGACCTTGAGGTTAGCAATCCAACATGTCACCCACCTCCTCATACGAGCTCCCCTTAGAGAGAAGAAGGTGCAAGATTAATTTTGAGAATTACTCATGGGGAGTGATCCACAAGGTAAGCAGTTTGAAACCACCAGCCGCTCTGGGGGAGAAAGGAGGGGCTTTCTCCTCCCTTAAATAGCTCCAGTCTCAGAAACGCACAGGGGCACTTCTACTCTGTCAGCAGTGAGTTTGGTTTGGGGTTTGGGGGAGAAGGCAGGGAAGGGTCAGCTGGAGGGAGGAGAACTGGAGACCAGGGGGTTGGGATGGAGTGTTTCTTTCATCCCACTACACTGCTGCTGGGAGCTTTGTGAAGCTATTCAACGCACGTCTTTGAGATACGAGCAGGAAGGCCTTTGGGTGCTGTACCCCCACCCAGACTTCCATGTGCAAATGTACCTCAAAAGGTAAGTGTGGGGGTGGGGAACCATTGATCAGAGACTCAGAAGAGAAAGAGGGTGATTTTTTTTTTAAGAGAGAAAAATAACACCCTAAAAGGCCACTGGAAGAAATATATTTTGTATGTAAAAGGCCTGTGAGAGGACTTTGTAAGTTTTTTTAAAACAGTATTTGAAAGTATGTCAACAAATTGGAAAAGCAGGGCTATTTTAAGAATGGTAAGCTACCCACCCCCATTTTTTCATTAGGAAAACCAACGATAGTAACCCACAGACTGCAGAGTTTGGTGAAAGCAGTCCATGTGTGTGACTGTGTATTCCGGTCAATGTAACAGCTACTTTCTTCACAACAAATGGATGAAGTGTCTTCATCCTGACTCATGCTTTCATTCTCTTCTTCCTCCAAAGCTCAGTTCCCACGTGCCCTCTCTTGTCATCTCGCCTATGAAATGTCCCCCATCTGCAGATTCACTATCAGCCCCTCCCTGCTCTCTCCCTGTCCCGTCACACACTACTCTTAGGGCACGTGCCCCCTGGAATCATTTCCTTCCATGCTCTTCATTGCTCGGCTCCAGGGAAGCTCCCGGAGATCAGAGACACGAGCTCAGGCATTTCTGTGTAACAGGATGTCTGGTGCGTAGCAGGGAGCTGTTTGAAAAGGGAGCAGTCTCTCAGTGTAATATTCTGAAACCTCAACTCTTCACCTTTCACGTTTCCAAAGATAAGGACCGAACTGCACTAAGCTGCCTTTGATATATGAAATAATTCAGATAGTGCGTGACTACATCCGATATTTGGTATAAGGAGTATTGTGTTGGAAAACACCATTTCACAAAAATATCACAGAGGAGGGGTGGGGTGAAGCCACACTGAATGGAAAGTTTGATGCATTTTATAATTTGTGGTTTATGGAGGTGTGTGCATTGGCAGCTTCTGTCTTCTTCTCATTCGTTTTGAACCAAGGGCCGAACCCCAAAGACAGGAATGGGAACTGAAACCGTCCCCGACAGCAGAAGAGGGGTGAAGGCTGTGTAGAGTGCCCTCAAACTGAGCACAGGGGGTATAATTAGTAAATTGGCTGGGCACCAAGTGACTAGGACTATCTG